ACAGCATCAACAGTGATGACGTTACAGATAGTCCTCGAATTACGACCACAATTGAGCCCAAAATTTCTGTTGCTAAGTGAGTCATTCGTCGAGTGGGTTTTGCACCATTTTCCGAACTTCCTTGCCAAAGTTGTTAAATGAATGGCTGCAGTTGTGACGTTAGTAACACGGTTGTTAAGTGAATCTAGCTTCCCCATCGACTTTGCTTCTCAAAAGGGGATCCTTGGACACTGCAGCCATCATATATATGAGTCAGTTGCCAAGCATATGAATTCTGATCACATGCCCATGGGGATGCTGCAATGGTCGTAACTGTGAAAAATGCTCATAAGTCACATTTTTTCAGGGCTAACTTTGAATAGTCACTACACCAACTATTGTATCGAGGAATACCTAGTTTGTGTAATGAAACGTCTGCAGGACCAAGGATCCCTCATTTCAACCCTGAGCTACAAATATTCTCTCCCTTGGAAGGGGTATTTGTATATATAAAGCCACATGGCTCACATTTTTGAGGTACTCTAATGGATCCCCCTCCCCCACACCTCCTGAGAGTATTTGTGAATTAATCAACAGTAAGGGAGAAAAGCAAAGAGGTTGGTGGGAATTATTTAACTGTTAGGAAGGAAACCAAACCGCCTGAGTAGATCTCTTTCAAGTAATTATTTCTAGCAATTAACTCCTTTTCAGGGCTAAGCTTGCTAATCTAGCCAGCATTGTAACTGGTGTGCATCTTGGACAATGGGTTTTAATCGGTTCACAGTCTTCCGCTCCTCCCTCCCAACTGCCTTTAATCTCAACATGTTATCTTTCCTCCTCTGTTCCCTTGCTAGGAATTATATACTTAATAGAATGATTGGTTTTGAAAATCCCATTTTTCTTCCAAATACCATAGTGAGAAGGGAAACCCTTTTGTGTTCCTTAAACCAGACCCCGAAATATCCACATGTTCGTGTTTGGCCACCAACTGAGACATGTTAGCCATTTGTGGGGCAGGGGGGTACGCAAAAGAACATTGCATCTTTCTCCTGGATGCCAATCTTGCTGCCCTGGGGTGGCCTGGCATTTTTTTCTGGAACTTAATCCTCTTGAACCGGAAGCTGTTGGGGTTTTCTGGCCAAGATCCTGGAATGTTGGGTTTTGTTCGTGCCTAGGATTATATTGGCTGTGTGCTGACATAATGCTAAGCCAGGATTTGTTAACCATTGTGTGTTGAAACATTGAAAGTGTGTTCATTTACACAGCATGTGAAAAACAGCAATAGATAGGTTCATTGATCCTGGAAAAATCAACTGCCAACCAAATAGCATTTTGTGTAGATGAGCCAATGAATGCCAACCATTAAACCTACTTATTAAAAAAAAATAAACCCACAGGTAAGGTAGCTTCTCTCCCCCTCTGACTGAGAGCTAACAAATGTGTATCTTTGCATAGCATTATTTAGTGCAAGCAACAAATTGAGCAGAGCAAGCTAAACCATAGTTTCCATGATACAGTGAAAGCCTTACTTTATATGATTAGCAGTGAAATGGTACAATCAAACAATGGGTGATTAGGATGTGTGTGCGTGTGCGTGCGGGTGTGTGTGTATTAATAGAATTATATGAATTGAAGGACTGGGAAGAATATGAATAAATGTATTTTAAATGTATAATTGATTGTGATTGGTTTTTAAAGTTGCACACTAAGATATTGAATAGTGAAAGAATGAAGGATGAAATTTTGAATTAACTAAGTGAAATATGAACAATATAACAAGTGAAAAACACATCTTTGAGTATAATAGCAATATGTGGGGGGGGGAGTTATAATAGGGATAGAAGTAAGATGGGAATAAATGGTATATA